AAAAAAAAAAAAAAAAAAAATTAGTAAGGATATAAAAATTGTTTGGTCACATGCTAGGTCATACAGGCCAGGCACAGTGGCTCACACCTGTAATCCCAGTACTTTGGGAGGCAAAGGCAGGTGGATCACTTGAGGTTAGGAGTTCGAGACTAGCCTGGCCAACATGATGAAATCCCCTCTCTACTAAAAATACAAAAATTAGCTGAGTATGGTGGTGCATGCCGGTAGTCCCAGTTACTCGGGAGGCTAAGGGAAGAGAATTGTTTGAACATGGGAAGCGGAAGTTGCAGTGAGGCCAGATCAGGCCACTGCACTCTAATCTTGGCGACAGAGCAAGACTCCATCTCAAAAGAAAAAAAAAAAAACATAGGTCATACACTGGACCATACAGGGCCTGATAAATTTCAGATGATCAAAATCATGAGTATATTCTCTAAACTCAACAGAATTAAATTACCAACCAATAACAAAGAGATATCTGAAAAATTCCCAAATATTAGAAATTAAGGAACACACTTCAAGTTATTTATGGGTCACAAATCAGATAAAAAATTCTGAGGGGAATTTGAAAATATCTATCTGAATCAAAACAGAACCACATCAAAGCATGTAGGCTGTAGTAAAAGTAGTGCATAAGAAAAGAAGGAATAAAATGAATTATTCACATTTCCACCTTAAGAAGCTGGGACTTGGCCAGGCAAACTAGCTCATGCCTGTAATCCCAGCACTTTGGGAGGACGAGGCAGGCAGATCACCTGAGGTCAGGAGTTTGAGACCAGCCTGACCAACGTGGTGAAACCCCGTCTCTACCAAAAAAACAAAAAATTAGCTTGGCATTGTGGCAGGCACCTGTAATCCCAACTACTCAGGAGGCTGAAGCAGGAGAATCGCTTGAATCTGGGAGGTGGAGGTTGCAGTGAGCCGAGATCGAGCCACTGCACTCCATCCTGGACAGGAGTGAGACTCCATCTCAAAAAAAAAAAAAAAAAAAGCTGGGACTGTCAACACCTGTAATCCCAGCACTTTGAAGGCCCAGGTGAGAGGGTTGCTTGAGCCTAAGAGTTTGAGACCAGCCTGGGAAATAGATTGAGACCCCATTTCTACAAAAAATAAATTAGGCATGGTGGCATACCCCTGTGGTCCCAGCTACTTTGGAGGCTGAGGCAGGAGGACTGCTTGAGCCCAGCAGGTCAAGGCTGTAGTGAGCCTTGATTGTGCTACCGCACTCTGGCCTGGGTGACGTCACGAGACCCCACCTCAAAAGAACAAAAAGTGGCCATAACACTGATCCTACAGAGGCCTGATTGCAGCATTCCACCTAGGATAGCAGGGGCTGCCAGGCACTTCTGAGATCCATCCAGCCAGGTCTGGCCTCATGGCTTAGCCCCTGTGACACTAAGCGAGAGACTGGCTGGCACCCGAATCTTGGTCATTATGCAGCACTGCCGCAACAGCCTGGGGGGTGTTCCAGAGGTAGCCTTATGTGGGGGTCTGCTGACTGCTTCTTTCCCCCACATCCTGTGGGCATGGAGACACAGGCCCACCAGCCCTTCCCTACCCTTGGCCCATGGCCTGGCCAAGCCTCTGTTTGGCATTGGTTTGCTCTGTCGCTGAGGTCACGGTCTGTGGGAAGAGGCTGACCCTGAGGGACACAGGGCCCACTGCTGCTTGGGAGGATGTGCTGAAGGAGGGAGGCCTGGGAACCTCCTGGAGCAAGTGACGTTGAGCCAAGATGGCAGAGGCAGGGAGGTGGGCAAGGGCATGGCACCTCCCCTGCCATGGCAGGAGGAGGGGTACGGCCCAGCTCGAACTTTCTCCTGAAGGCCATGGGAGCGTGGGCCTTGAGTGGGGGTGTTTGTCCTTCAGCAGGGCCATGACCTGTTTAGCTCTGTGACTACAGAGTGCTGCTCTCTGGGAGAGGGGAGCCTGGGGGCAGCCCAGGAAGGAGGCTGGGCAGAGGTCCAGGGTCAGCGCCAGGCTCCCGACTCCCCGCCACGACTCTCCCCTGTAGCGGAGAAGGGGAAAGGGATCTGGGGAACGCAGAGCCATCTCCTCCTGCACCCTGTCCATGGGATGGAGGAGGACGGTGGCTGCCGTCTTCAAGACGTCCTAATTGGGACAAAGGCATGGGGTGCCGGTCTCCCTTCTCACCTCCCACTCAGGGCACGGATGCAAACTCTGTTCTTGGAACCTAGAGAACCGTAGTCCCTGGTAAAGCCTGCACTGCAAGTACAGGCAGCAGAGCCCCAGTTACGGTGGGCTGGGTGGGGTGGGAGGTCACAGGGCACAGCACAGGACCCTGCAGAATCCAGGGCAGAGGATCTGGGCCATTTGCTGAGGGGACACTGGAGTTCCTCTGCCCAGTCCTGTGCAGAGGCCACTAGCTCTAGCATTTTCTCAGAGGGGTGCAGGGGACATGCAAGGGCTTGGGGTGGGGAGCCCAGCTGGTCCAGGCCAGATCCCCCACGCCCTGTCCCGCCCTGTTCCTCGGGATGAATTGTTCCTGTCTGGCGCTGGCCAGTGGCCTTGACCCCAGCTCGCATGCTGTCCCTGGCTCAAGACTGCTCCGCAGCTCCTAGGATGAAGTCCAAACTCCTTGACGTGGACACTCCAGCCCCCCTGCAGGCCCAGCCTGACTTCCACCACCTCCTGGCCATGTCTTTAGCTAATGTATGCTTCCCTCTTCTGATAACTCTCCTTCTTCAGAACCTCCCCACCTCTATCCTACCCTGGAGGCCAGACCACCTGGGGCCCAGATGTCTGAGGAGGTTCCTGCCTGCACCACGTGGTGCTGACTTTAGTGAAATAAAGTTGGAAATTCATTCACAGCCTTGTGACTCCTTTCGTCAGACATGGCTGATTGCAGGCAGGAGTTTGGGGGAACCCATCAGCATGTTCTGGGCCCTGCATCTCCCCATTGTTAGCCTGCACCAGGCCATTTGCTCTGTATAAACCATACCACCCCTGCCACGCTCCTTTCAGCCCCAGAGCCTTTCCATGTGCTGTGTGTCTAGAATTCTTTCATCTCTTCTATACTTAGATAACATCTCTTCATCCATTTCCCCAGAAAAGCCTTCTCTGACCTCCCGATTAGGTCAAATGTTCCTTAGAATGTGCCGTGGGCAAGGTCTCTCCGTGTGAGGACCTGTCCAGCCGGACCTCCACCTTCCTGTGACTGTATTGGTCACTCCCCCTCAAGCCTATGAGCTCTGCAAGGTCAGGGACCCTGTGTGCTTTTGCCCATTGTATGTCCTCCAGTCCCAAGCACAGCATCTGGTGTCCAGTGAGTGCTCAGCAAGTATCTCATTGAAGGAAAGGCAGATGGGTAGATGGATTGTCCCTGGCAGCAGTTCCTGTCTGGACAGGCAGTCATTCCTCTATGAGCAACTCTTAGAGAAACTTTAAGATTTTTCCCAGCCAGGTGCGGTGGTTCACATCTGTAACCCCAACACTTTGGGAGGCCAAGAGTGGGGTGCAATCCCCTGAGGTCAGGAGTTAAGTACCAGCCTGGCCAACATGGTGAAACCCCATCTCTACTAAAAATACAAAAATTAGTTGAGTGTAGTGGTGGGCTCCTGTAATCCCAGCTACTGGGGAGGCTGAGGCAGGAGAATCACTTGAACCCGGGAGGTGGGGGTTGCAGTGAGCAAAGATGGAGCTGTTGCACTTCAGCCTGGGCAAAAGAAAAAAAAAAAAATTGTTTTTTTTCACCAAGGAGCTGAGGCCTGACATGTTCCTGTGGTATTTACAAGGACTGTCTTCTTTACAAAGCATCTATCCCCCCGACTTCTCTCCCCTCTCTATTTTGGGGTTACTTGGGTCACAGACTCGGCCCACAGCTGGCAGTAATGCTCCACCCTGCTACAGCTACTTTCATCTCCTGTCCCCAGATGTGGCACCACCCACTGGTGCTGCGCCGAGAAGTCACCACAGCCACTCCTTCGGCGGGCTAGGAGAGTCAGGTTCAAGAAGAGTTCATGGACTCTGAGTAAGGCAAGCAGGGGCTGCCTGGGAGGCAAACGCTGGCCTCTGGTTACACTGGCCTTTGAGATGCGCGGCTCCTTCATGCCATGGGCACTGCAAAGGCATTGGCTCCGATCCTTCAACGCTGTCGCAGGGCTCTTGGGGCTTAGAGACGGAGGTTACTTCCAGAGTCACACACAGCTGAGAAATCAGTGACAGGAGAGGAGCCCAACTCCGTGAACACCAGAACCCAGGGCTCCGGAAAAAGCCATTTCGGGTGCTTCCAGGGTATGGTCTGCCTTGGGAAGCTGTTACCCCACTGGCGTTTTCGTAGCAACAACAGCGTCCCAACAGAAGAGGAGGGGGGCCGAGAGATTATTCCCATTCGACGCAGTAAGAAACTGGGGCCCACGGGGGCCTTCGGGGGCAGATGGCATGCAGGCGTGGGGACAGATTTCTGGAGCGCAGGGGCCGGGTCCGCGGCCCCCTCCGCCGGCGCCTGCGCATTGCGGCTCAGCTCCCCGCTCAACCCCGCCCCATCGCTCGGGTTTTCAAATTTGAAACCTGCTTCTTTTCCCGCCGGAACGTGTGGACCAGCGGCGGGAGAGGGCGGGGTGGAGCGCCAGCCAATAGGGCATCAGAGGCTTCCCGGCCCCGCCCCGAGGATGACGACAGCGAGCCTCTAGAGGCCATGGGCGAATGGGCGAGCGGCGGCCGGCAGGCCCCGCCCCCGCGGCGCCCACGTGCAGCGGCTGGGCCCGGGGCCTCCAGGGGACCGTCTGGCCCCCAAAGCGCCTTCCTACGTGCGGGGATAGTAACCAGCACGGGGCTGAAAGCTGAGATCAAAGACGCCCATGAGCCGGCGTGAGTGGATGAGAGAAGCGAGCAAGAAGCAGCACCCGTCAGCCTGAGGGTTCGTTCCAGGGCCAGGCCTGCAGCCGGCGCCCTTACCTGCCCGTGGAGGTTCCAGGACCACTCGGAGCCGGGCGGCTGCCGGATCTGGGCTGCGGCTCCGAGGCAGCTTTCAGAGGGGCGGGGCCAAGGGCTGGGCGTTCCCGCGGGCGGGGCGTCCCGGGGGCGGGGCGGGCCCCTGTGTTTGTTGCACCGTGTCAGTTACTTTGTAACAAAAGTGGTGCAGCCGCTGCTCCGGCCGGCTCCCTAGGCCGGCCCGCCTCTAGCTGTCGCCGACATGGAACCCGTGGCCAGCAACATCCAGGTCCTGCTGCAGGCGGCCGAGTTCCTGGAGCGCCGTGAGAGAGGTGAGGAAGAACCCTTGGCTGGATTCCGGGCGGCGACCTCGCTGACACGGCCCTGGACTGGACCTGGCTTCCGGCTTGAAGGATGCATGGCCCTAGAACAGTAACCCTGGGACGTCCCGCCCTCAACTCGAGAGGACCCCGGGGCTGTAGAGCAGGGAGGGCTAGGGAAATGGTCCTGGCGCCAAAAGCCTTTCCTGAACCGTGCTGTGCCTGGAGCTCCCTCTGGGACCAGGTCCAGCCCCAGCCTGACGCGGGCGGGGGCTCTCTCTGGCAGAGGCCGAGCATGGTTATGCGTCCCTGTGCCCGCACCGCAGTCCCGGCCCCATCCACAGGAGGAAGAAGCGACCTCCCGAGGCTCCTGGCGCGCAGGACAGCGGGCGGTGAGGAGGGCCGGGGCGGCGGGAGTGGGGGTGGGGTGGGCGCCGCCCCTGGTCGGGCCCTCCTCTGTCCACTTGTTGCTTGCATCTTTTGGGCCAGGTGTCCTGCTCCGGGAAGCATTCAGACCCCTTCTGCCATCTCCCTCTCTCCAAACACACTCACACCTTTCTATTCGTTCAAGGACTTCTTGAGCACCTCTAGATGTGCCAGGAACTGCAGACAACAGTGGCGGTCCCAATTCCACGCGCACTCTGGCACTCCACTCATCAGGCCACTCACCTCCCCCACTGGCTTCCTCCTTTTCTCGCCTCTCCCCAGCCCTTTGCATATGCTGTTCCCTCCTATTTGAATGCCTCTCCCTCCACTACCTGCTTGGGAAACTTCTGTTTCTGCATTTAGTTGTCACCTCTGTCTCGGAAGCCCTTCCTGACCAGCTGGTAGGGGGCCTTGTTAGGACCCCCATCCCCCCCCCCCCCCCCCCGCCCCGGGCAGGCTTCTGTTAAGCATTTGGCTTTGTGTCTTTGACTCCCCTCACCCTGCCAGGGGACTCTGGTGTCTCAGGCCAGCATGAAGTCTTCACAGGGGTCTTGTTTGGGGCAGGCATCTATAGTGGCTCTTGAGCCACTGGTGGCCCTGGGATTGAGGGCATGAGTAGTAGCTGATTCCCCCTCACCCCATCCTCTCTGGCATTGGCAGGTCTGTGCACAATGAACTGGAGAAGCGCAGGTGAGTCCCAGCCCTGCCCTGACAGCGCCAGCCCCTAGGAGCCACCTCCCTCTGATCTTCCATCCCCTGCCATTCCTGTGGCCAGCAAGATGGAGCTGCCACTGCCCTCCAGACCTCTTCCCCCACAGGAGGGCCCAGTTGAAGCGGTGTCTGGAGCGGCTGAAACAGCAGATGCCCCTGGGGGCTGACTGTGCTCGATACACCACACTGAGCCTGCTGCGCCGTGCCAGGATGCACATCCAGGTGAAGCCCCCTGCTGCACGGGACTGGCTTGCCCTGGTGTATGGAGGGGCTGGTGGGACTGGGGAACGAGGCCTGAGGTGTGACTTGGGACTGCGCTCTGAGCTTTGACTTTCCAAATCCATTAAATGGGGAAAAAAATCAGACAATAACTCAGAGGGTTGTTGAGGCTTAAACGAGTTCACTCTATAAATGTTCATTGCTGCTGTTACAGCTGTTATCACTTAGATCTCAGCCGTGAGACCTTGGGCAAGTCACTTAGCCCGTCTGGACTAACCTTTCCTCCTGTTTGATGGGAGGGGATGGCTGTTGAATTTTGTGATGGGATGTATGTGGGGGTCCTTGCTCTCCTGCTCTCCCATCCTTCAAAGCCTCCTGTTATGGGCAGTCTATCCTGGTGCCACCTGGGAGGCAGCTCCAGAGACTTGAGAGGAAGGGACTGAGAAGATGCCAGTCATTCCCAGGACCCCTGCTGCTGCTGGGGCTGAGCTCAGTGCCCTCTGGTGGTCAAGAATGGGTGTGCTGAATAAAGGCCCAGTGGCCCTGGCAGCCCTGTGGCCTTGGAAACCACAGGACTTTTCCTGCCCTCCTGACCCTCCTGACAGAAGAATAAATGGAGGCACAGCTAGGCGGAGGGCCAGGTCGCACAGCTGATGGGAGGCAGATTCAGGATCCATGCCCAGGTCCCTGGCTTGCATTATCTCCTCCCAAGTGTTTATTGAGCCCTGGTTCGGCCAGGCCCTATTCTAGGCACTGGGGGCTGTGGCACACATAGACCTATGTGCTGTCAGCAAATAAACCACAGCTTCGCGCCCCCCAGGTGTCTGTTATTACCATCATTGTGGCTGAATAACACTGGTTGGGTTAACGGCTCAGTTTCTCACACGGAGCTTGCCTGGCCTGGCCTGGTTCTCGGATGGATGATGTGTGCCCCTCAGGGGCTGGGTGGCCCGTGGGCAGGACCTGGGGATGCTCCTTTTCTGGGGCTCCATCACCCCCCTCCTGGACTAATTCACCAGCCTCTTCCCGGCCTTCCTGCTTCCTGTTTTGCCTCCACCAGGCTGTCTTCTACTTTGCTCTAGAATGATCTCTGCAGCACACAGATTACCCAGACCCACCTCCTGCTGAAAACCCCCCAATCGCCCCTGACAGGACAAAGCCTCTGCTCCTTACTTCCTGTGAATCTCAAGACCCTTCATAACCCAGGCCTTGCTAGTAGGCTGTACTTTCGGCCTCATCTCTCCCTATTCCCCACAGAAGCTCAATGCTCCACGCTCTTCCCAGGCTCCCTCTGCCTCAACGTTTCTTCCTTCCCATGTTCGCCTCAGTAGCTCTTACTCCTCTTTCTCTGCCCAGTCCAAATGGCCCCATGGCCCAATTTTCCCCTTGTTGTTGAGTGACCGAATGTAAGCTTCTGCCACTGAGGGCTCTGCCTGGGAGAGCCCTTGGCCTTCCCTTCCTTGGAACTTCAGGGCTGGCAGAGCTTGGTGGGAGGTAGGGGGATGGGAGGGAGGGTGCTAACGCCTTGCACTCTTGAGGGATCATGACCAGAAGCTACAAACTGGTAGCCTTTGTTTGTTCTGTAATTTTCTTAAAATGTAAATTAGTTTTCAACCCCTCAAAAGACATTTCACATGAAAAATCTGACTTTCCAGCTTCTCGTGAAGAAATGTGGGGGCCGGGCTTACGCAGCTTACACCTGTAATCCCAGCACTTTGGGAGGCCAAAGCAGGCGGATCACCTGAGGTCAGGAGTTAAAGACCAGCCTGGCCAACACGATGAAACTCTGTCTCTACTAAAAATACAAAAATCAGTCAGATGTGGTGGCATGCGCTTGTAGTCCCAGCTACTCAGGAGGCTGAGGCAGGAGAATCGCTTGAACTGGGGAGGCGGAGGTTGCAGTGAGCCGAGGCCCGCCATTGCACTCCAGCCTGGGGAATGAGCTAAAACTCCATCTCAAAAAAAAAAAAAAGTAGCCAGGCATGGTGGTGGGTGCCTGTAATCCCAGGTATTTGGGAGGCTGAGGCCGGGAATCACTTGAACCCAGGAGGCGGAGGTTGCAGTGAGTGGAAATTATGCCACTGCTCCCCAGCCTTGGTGACTTGAGACGTCTCAAAAAAAAAAAAAAAAAAAGAAATGGGGAGACCTGGTAGCACCAGGCCTGTTTCCTGTGACAGCACATACCTGGCACCTGAGAAAGTGTCCACGCACCAGTGCACCTCTCCCCCAGTTCCCACCGCTGGACACTATATAGACTCCAATCCTTTAACCCTGAGTAGGCCCCAAAGGCCTTTGAGATTGTGGTGCTCCCCACCCCCAATCTAGGCAGCATCCTCACAGGCCGTGTGCATGGCGGGAAAGGGGCTTGCTTTCTGGAGGATGTGGGTGCAACCCTCTGGGACCTGGAGTTAGTTGCCGCGTGCCTGGAGTAGGCATCAGCCCTGTGGCCGTGGCCCAGTACTGAGTGGTGTTGGGGTGCAACTCAAGCCCCCAGGCCGCTGACCCCAATCCCTTGCTCCTTTGGGATCTGCAGAAACTGGAGGAGCAGGAGCAGCGGGCCCGGCAGCTCAAGGAGAGGCTGCGCAGCAAGCAGCAGAGCCTGCAGCGGCAGCTGGAGCAGCTCCGGGGGCTGGCAGGGGCAGCCGAGCGGGAACGGCTGCGGGCGGACAGCCTGGACTCCTCAGGCCTTTCCTCCGAGCGGTCAGACTCAGACCAAGGTGAGTGCCCCGAGGCTGAGGGGTTGTGTGGCCCTCGGGGCAAGCCAGGTCTTCTGATTGGACCCCTCCCTGCACAGAGGAGCTGGAGGTGGATGTGGAGAGCCTGGTGTTTGGGGGTGAGGCTGAGCTGCTGCGGGGCTTCATCGCGGGCCAGGAGCACAGCTACTCGCACAGCAGCGGCGCCTGGCTATGATGTTCTTCACCCAGGGCAGGCCTCTGCCCTCTGCTCGTGCCAGGCCCACCTGCCAGGGATGAGCTCTCCCCAAGCCTTAAGTGCTGTTAGGAGTCCTCTGTTGGAATGGACTAAAAGGACCCTTGTGTGGGAACAGGTGCTCCCCCATACCCTGCTGCTGGCTGCCAGGCAGGCCCTCTGGAAGAGGCAGGACTCATCAGGACCTCCCTAAACCCCTGCAGGGCAGGCAGCTTGGGCCTGAGCCCAAGCACCTGGCTCTGCTGCCTCCAAGGGAACAGGAAGCCTCTTGGGCCTCTTCCCTTCTTGGACAAGGCCCCCTGGCCTTTGCCTCACATAACTGTACAGTATCTTCATTAAAAGCCTCTTTCATAACTTCCCGTCCTAGTCTCACCTGATGAAAATGGGGAAACTCCCAACCACAAACCCACTGGAAGAGGAAATAAGATCAGTTCCCATCACTGACACTGTCGGCTGTGCCAGTCAGTGCAGTTAATCCTCACAACTCGAAGGCTGTTCTGTCTCCACTTCACAGATGGTGGAAATAAGGCTGAATGATGTGACTTGCCTGAGGTCCAAAAACAGTGAAGTCAAGATTCAAACCAAAGCTTTCCAACTCCAGAGCTAGGACTGACTGAATTCAGCAAGTATTTATTGAGTGCCTATTAAGTGCTAGATACTGTTCCAGGTACTTGAGACCCATCAGAGAACAAAACCAAGAGCCCTTCCCTCGTGGGGCTTCCCGTCTAGCATTTATCGCCAGTTCACCCAGGCTACCTGGGGCCTGAGGCAAGTCAGTGCACCTCTGTGCCTGGGTCCTCAGCTGCCCAATGGGAGAATAAGCAGACCTGGCTCAGACTGGAAAACGTGGTGGTGTACTGTGGATGCCAAACTGATACCCTCAACCCACCACCCAGACAGTAGATAGGGCTGGAAGTTGATTTTTATTGATAAAGTACAATGGAGGGAGGGCAGAGGGGCTAAGCCAAGCTGTCTGGGGTGCTGTGGTGGTGGTAGGCTGGCTACACAAACTGCTGCTGCTGCTGCTGCTGCTTGGTGGCCGCCTTGCTGGCGAGGTCCTTGGCCTTCTCTGTAGCTGCCAGTGCCGTCTCCTTTGCTTTCTCCTTGGCTTCCTTGGCTGTCTCAACAAGTGTTTTGGAAGGGGCCTCACCTGTTGCAAAGGGCAGGTGGCTGGCTTCAGAGGGTGCCTGAAACACCCACCTAATTTCCCTCCTCCATGACACCAACCTTCCCTGGGCCAGGCTCCACTAGAAAGGTGATATTCACCCTCTTCCCACACCCAGTACAGACGAGGAGTCTCAGCTCAGAGCAGGGCAATGACTAACCCAGACTCCACACTCACTAGGCCGAGTGAGCCTCTCCCTATGAGGGATCTCCACATACCCAGACACTCACCTTGCAGCTTCGCCAAGATATATTCAAAACCCTTCATAGTCTTGGTCACGTTGCTTTTGAACCGGGCAAGACCAAATTCCTGGCAAAAGATGAAAAAGGGAAGGATACTGAGTTGCCCATTGACCCCAGCCCCAAAACTGAAAGCCCTGGGTCCCAGAGCCCCAGCAACCCCCACAACACAGCTCACCTGGACAGCTCTGGAGACACCAAATAAGCTAGAGGAGACCCAGGCTTCACGGCGGATTTCGGTCCAGCCACTGTTGTCAGAGTTCACACAGTAAACACATCGTTCCTCCACCACCTATGCAGAGTCAGGCCAACCACAATTGTGATACAGTCTTCCATTTTGCCGACTTGCACAAAAATTTGACTGCCTGTCTCTTTTCATGAGGGGAAGCAATACAATGAAAATCCATTCCTTCCACTGACTGCACTCCCAAGTGGTACTGACAGAGCAAGAAGCCATAAATAAGGTCATTTTGCTCTCAAAAACCTCTTCTGACCCTTAAAACTAGAAGGCATAACGTCTCCTGAGATCAGCAAAGGGCCTTCCAGCCCATCCTGCTCCTGGATTTTTGTTTTCATGCCTCTAGACACATCCAATGTTTGTAACCCGCTTCCACCCACTGCAGTTCTGGAGTTTCCTGACAGTCCAAATAAAAACAAACATTTGCCGGGCGTGGTGGCTCACGCCTGTAATCCCAGCATTTTGGGAGGCTGAGTCAGGTGGATTACTTGAGGTCTGTAGTTTGAGACCAGCCTGGCCAACATGGTGAAACACTGTCTCTACTAAAAATACAAATATTAGCTGGGTGTGGCGGCGGGTGCCTGTAATCCCAGTTACTTGGGAGGTTGAGGCAGGAGAATCGCTTGAACCCAGGAAGCGGAGGTTGCAGTGAGCTAAGAATGCAGCACTGCATTCCAGCCTGGGTGACAGAGGGAGACTCCATTTCAAAAAAAAAAAAAAGACAATCATCACACTTCTCATTATTAGATGGGAAAAAGTTGAACATTCCTTTCCAGGAAAAATACTTAAGAGATCTTTCTCACACCTCTGGAACACTATCTTAGTAATTTACCAAACACAGACATGGTGCTCTTCTGTAACATCTGAGATGACTTCAGACAACCCTCGGGCAGAGTGAGATACCCACTCACTCTCAGACCTTGTGGGACAGTGCCCTGTATGAATCACATTTCTATCTTTTCACAAGAGAGTAATATCCACCTCTCAAGGTTATTGGGACAATAAGCTGAGAAAGAGAATTCGCTGAAAGCTTTCAGGATATTCACATATAAGAAGATACTGTAGGAAATTCCTTAACCCGTAAGTTTAAAAGTTTCTTAAAAGCAATAGATCAAAGGTATATGGAATGCCCTTTCCCCAAATCTCAGGCAGAAGTCCATTTAGGTAAGACAAATAACAGTGAAACTCCTCTAGTCAAAGTGAGAAAAAGGGCTGAAAGCCTCTTCCGGAGACATATCCAAGGTACCTTATGGCTTGATGGGCTCCTGTTTGAAAACCACTGATGCTCTCGCCTGTGATCCCAGCACTTTGGGAGGCTGAGGCGGGCAGATCACTTGAGGCCAGGAGTTCAGAACCAGCCTGGCCAACATGGCCAAACCCAGTCTGTACTAAAAATACTAAAAAATTAACCAGGCCTGTAAACCCAGCTCCTCAGGAGGCTAAGGCACAAGAATTGCTTGAACCTAGGAGATGGTGGTGGCAGTGAGGTGAGATTGTGCCACTGCACTCCAGCCTGGGCGACAGAGTGAGACTCTATCACCAGAAAACAAACAAAACCAGGAAAACCACTGCCTCCCCCACTCAGCATCACTGCTGTGCCATATACCTGATGGGAGTGCTTTGCATTTAGAACTTAGGACAACTGAGTAAGACAGGTACCCCTCCCCTACTGTATGAATGAGTCAGACAGGTCCAGAGAGGGTGACCAGCTAGAAAGAAGAAAATGTGAGGTCATACTCTACAGTTGTCACTCCTCAGTAACCCAGACCTGCCTCAGACCACCAAAGCTCCCTCATGGCTCTCTAGACACACGTATCTGAAGAGCTCTATTTGGGGGTGGGGGAGGCAGAATCGCAGCAGGAGGTGTCTCACCATCAGCCGGGCGTGGTTGATGTTCCAGGTGAAGGTGGTCATGGTCTGATTCTGTGGGTCCACAATAGAGTCCTCCAGGATGTACACCGAGTGAGCAACATTGGCAGGAAACAGTCGCTCGGCCCAGCGAGGCATCCTGTTAGTCTTGGTCAGGAGTCGCCGGGACAGCAGTTTCTGGTCAGGGGTCACCTCCCGGTGTACTATGTCTTCCGTCAAGACATGTTTGCTGCAGGTATCAGAGTGAAGGTGGCCCTCAGGAGCCTGCCCCGAAGAGACTGCCCAAGGTGATTCCCATTTGGAGTCTACAAGCCCAGAGAGGCCTTCCTGTAACCTTGCAGAGTGGTATGTGCCATGGTTCACACCAGAGTTAAGAGCCCATCCCAGGGCAAATTCCAACTCCCGCCATTTGGCTGACCTGGATTCCTGGGCCTTCTAGCAGGAATAGACCTCATGATTTACTGCACCTCAGGAAAGCGCCACGAGCAGAGGAACAGGATTTCCAACCCCAAGATCCCTCCCAACTCCCCTACTGCAGCCTCTTCCTGTCTCCCCACCCTGAGAAAAGAACCTTACACTAAGATATCAAGTAAACTACCACCCAGGCCCAGCCTCCCTTCAGGACCTTGCAGGCCTGGCCGCTTCCCCGATAAGGTCTACGTAGGATTCGATGTCGAATTCTTTCTGGTCCATTACTCGGGGATTATCCACACTTCGATCTCCAAATAGCGAGATGGTGGGGTTTTGCTCTCCCAAACACCACGTACCTATAGGGATTCGGGTACCGCTGCCAGAAAGCGGCGAACACTTGGTCCCAGGAACTCCGGAGCACGCTCTGGCCCAGGAAATACTTCACCATCGTCCCGGCCGGAGAGGGCTCAGCACCCACGCAGCATCAGGGGTGCGGAGCCTGGGAGGCACGCGGGGGCCGGGCCGGGCCGGGGCTCGGCGCACACCCGCCGCCAGGCTCGTAACTCAGTCACCACCGCACCGCGCCCAAGCAGCTGCTGCTGCTGCCGCCGCCATGAGTTGTCCGGCTGGGCGCCACTTCCGGCGCAGCCACACGGTAGCCACCGCTTCCGGCGCCCGCGCCACGTGACCTTGCGGCCCCGCCCCCTCTCTCTCTCGCCCCCTCCCGCGGGCGTCGCGGCGCTGCGGGTAGGAGCCGGGTTGTAGGAGACCCTAGGTTCGATTGGTACTCGGAGCCGGAACTGAGCCTAAGCCGGGCAGGCGAGCGAATGACGGAGTAGCGAGCTGCGCGGCGGCGTGCTGCGCTGTTGAGGACGCTGTCCCGCACGCTCCCAGGCCGCCCCGGGGCTTGGGGTCTTCGAAGGATAATCGGCGCCCGGGGCCGAACAGCGGGGGCACACTGGGCACTGCCGAAAGTGCAAGGCCACAGCCAGAGCTCGACCCCGACGCGCTGTCTCGAATCGTTGGTTGGCACCGTTTGGGGTTGGGGTCTGAGGCCTGGGCGCTGCCTGGGCCGAGCGGAGATCCGGGTTCATCTCCTGTCCCCGCTCAGGACCCTGACGTGGCTGAAGCGGCCCCGGGAGCATGAGCGGGCAGCGCGTGGACGTCAAGGTGGTGATGCTGGGCAAGGAGTACGTGGGCAAGACGAGCCTGGTGGAGCGCTACGTGCACGATCGCTTTCTGGTGGGGCCCTATCAGAACGTGAGTGCACTCGGAGGGGCCAGGCACGGTGGGCGGGGGGCGTAATCTGCACCTATGGCCCCGATCTCTTCCCTCTCTTTGCAGACCATCGGGGCCGCCTTCGTGGCTAAGGTGATGTCGGTCGGAGACCGGACTGTGACATTAGGTATTTGGGTAAGTTCTCTGGGCATCTATTCTAGGGAGACTCATTCTTGAGGAGGCTTAGGTCCTGCCTATTACTGATTGATTTGTGGCCTCACAGACTCGTTTCTCATAGACCCGTTTCCTTATCTGGAAAATAGGGGGGTCTGGAGAACATGGCCTTAAGTTTGACTCAGACCAGGGCTGAGCCTATCCCTCCTCTTTAGGACACAGCAGGCTCTGAGCGCTATGAGGCTATGAGTAGAATCTACTATCGGGGTGCCAAGGCTGCCATCGTCTGCTATGGTAAGGGGGAGTTCTGGGCTGACCCACAAGAAGAAGTGGGTGCCAGGCTAGCCAGAGAACAGCCCCTGACCACCTGGTTGTGTCTCCTGCATGCCCCACACCAAGACCTCACAGACAGCAGCAGTTTTGAGCGAGCAAAGTTCTGGGTGAAGGAACTGCGCAGTCTAGAGGAGGTAGGTGAATAGACCTCACCAAAAGACCAAGGGCTAGGGTTCTGTTGGTCTGTGGAGGTGACGCTTGTCTCCTGTCTCAGGGCTGCCAAATCTACCTATGTGGCACCAAGAGTGACCTGCTGGAAGAAGACCGGAGGCGTCGACGTGTGGACTTCCATGACGTCCAGGACTATGCAGACAGTAGCTGTTCCTCACCCTTTGGGGGGGTGGGGGGGTGTGGCTGTCTGGGTGGATCACAGAAAATAGAGACTGCCTTGGCTGCTAGGGCAAGGTACTCTAGAAGGGCTTCCTGGCCTCCTTGAACTGTGGCATCCAGGAGAGTCCCTGAACTGCTAGCCCTCCCTTTTGTCTGCTTATTTAATTCTCAGATATGAGGCTTTAGTCACTTCTCTTTACAGATATCAAAGCTCAGCTCTTTGAAACATCCAGCAAGACAGGCCAGAGTGTGGGTGAGTGCTGTGCTGGGGCCTCACAGCAGGAACAGGCAGGGGCACCAGAGGAAGCTGAATAGGGAACAGAGGGCTGGGTCACTGGGAGATCCCAGGACTACTGGCATTGGGCCCTCACTGATCATCATTTTTCCTGCCAGATGAGCTCTTCCAGAAAGTGGCAGAGGATTACGTCAGTGTGGCTACCTTCCAGGTGATGACAGGTGTGTGCTTCCCCAGCCTTTATGGAGACTTACTCTAGGCCCACAGCATCTAGCCCCTTTCCTGAGTTACCTGATCCCAACAGAATGGTGCTGAGCTGCCACCTCTTTCTTTGACAGAGGACAAGGGCGTGGACCTGGGCCAGAAGGCAAACCCCTACTTTTACAGCTGTTGTCATCACTGATTCACCACTCACCTGGCCTGGGAGAGTTAAAGGAGTTCCCCAGAGCGGCTGGACCCAGCTCCTTACTGGGCTTGGGTAGTCAAATGTCTGAGCTAACCCAGGTCCTCATGTCAGCAGAGGTGGCACCTGCCTGTGCTGGCCCATGGAACGGAGGCAGCATTGGGCTGACTGTGGGCATGAGGAGGGATAAGGGCTGATTTGGACCCCAGGCTTCTGCCCTGGACAGCACTTGTGTCTGCAGATTATTTAAGTGGCTTCTGATCTGTAAATAAAATCAATGCACTGTGAATCACACCCAGCCCCTTTCCCTGCTGTGTGGATTGGGTGTCAAGACACCTAGTTCTTTCTGGGGCCACCCAGCTGGCCTCACTGCTTTATATTAAGGCTTTCCTATCTCTTATTTTCCTTTGGAAAACAAGACTTCTTCCCAGGGTTACAGCTGAGATACTGGGGCTGGGGTAGTACAAAGCTCACTATTCCCTCTGAGTACTGAAAAAGAGTGCGTGAGCTGTGTCGAGATAAAAGGGTCAAGCACTTTATACAGGTTGGTCTGACCAGCCCTACTGCATCTGTCATGTTTGGGCCCGTATGTCAGACCTGTGACTCAGGTCCTGAGCATCCCAGTGACATCCTACAGTGCGGTTTAATGGTAGAAAAGTCCTAAGTTCTGTAAGACAGAAAGGTCTAATGGATCCAGATTTGGTTCCAATTTAGAAAAGGGACTTAAACCCTCAGCTTGAGTTTCTCATCTGTAAAATAAGGTGACTACTACACAGCCCAAGGATTGTGAGATCCTAAGTCAAGAGTAATTCTAGTACTAAATGTTTTTCCTAATCTTCCCAAGCACTTTTTGTTGAAAGGGCAGAAGTTCAGGACTAAGTCACAAGGGGAAGCAAACTCCCAAGTGTCCTCCAAAGTATTAGGCCTTGAAGGTCCATATATTTCTGAGGGATCAGGTGTTATTGAACACTTCCTGTTCAACCAGAAGGAAATTTACTGTAGCTCTTTCCGGTATGGGAGGTGTGGCCCCAGTCTAGGGGCTTTGCCTTAGTTTATTCTTTGCCCCTGCTTTCCTGCCTTTAGGCCTAGGCTGAGTCCTCTGCAGTTGACAACACCTGCCTTTGAAGAATATAAAACTTAGCCAATATGGTCAGACTCACACTTAGAGAGTGTTTTGGTTCCACTTCCTTTTAAAAAACCAATTCCTCAAAACTGCACTTCCTTCATGAGTGATGGAGGCTTCCTGTGGAGGGAGACTGAAACTGACAGGAGCTACTCCCAACAGGAGAGAAAAAGGCTTGGGCAGCCCTGTGGCTGCTGGGAGGAAACACTCCTCCCATGATGTGCTTAGAGGAAGGGCTTAGCTCCACAGTATCCCTGCCCCACCCCCGCCCCATACTATCTCTGGCTGGCTCCTGCTCTCACCCCAAACAGTCCTCCCTCCTGTTAGGCTACAACTCCCCACAACCAATAAAAACACAGGGCAAGGGCCATATATGAGTAAAGTTAAACTTTACTTTACAGTAAATTTTTTTCTATATACAAAGAATTACAGTACATGTTTATGGGGACTCCTACCACAGGGCTCCCCTCTTTTTCACTAGGAGTTTCACTTACAGCTGACAATCTGTGGGGGCAGGGGAGGGGGGCAAAAAACAATGATGGACCTTGGCTGATCCCCCCGACCCCTTTCTTAATAATATAGATGTTTATCATCAGCTTGCCTCTCTACCAAGACCTAGGAAGCAGCTCTGCCATGAGCTGCTGTGTGCTGCCCTCCCCACCTTCAGCACACTCATCTACACACACAGGTAGCACCCACCTCAATGAGACCGCCTTGCTCTGGCCTGCCCCAACCCTGGAAGTTGAAAACACTAGAACCATTTATTTCTGCTTCTACTCCCTGTGCCCATCTCTTGTCTAGAAAACTTTGCTTAACTTCCAGGACCTTACACCTGAAGCCCCACAATAACCTGATGTTTTGAAAGTCATGGGAAAGCAGCTCTAGAGAAGGGACCAGATAGGCAGAAACAGCACATGTTAAAACTCAAAACACTTCTTCCGAGGCTGTGGATTTCTAGTTAAATTCCTTCCACTTCCTTATAAAATATTACCCTTAATCTTCATAAGCAGTAGAGGTGCTTCCATGAGTGGAAGAGGTAGAGAGGGGTAGAAGGGAGCTGAGGGAGACCCAACACCCAGAGCTCTCTAACAACCTGCTCCAGGCAGTGGACGGAGTCTATGGACAAGGTGGCCTCAGCCCTGAAAAACTCAATGGCCACCTTCACCTGGATACAGGACCTCTTTCACCTCTGGATTGCACTGGGCCAATCCAGGGTTGGGTATAGGCTTCACTGAGGATCTTCCTTCTCCCCACTTTTAACAAAGCCTCAAAGAAACCTTTCTACATAAAATCTTCTCTTCCCAAATAGGAATCTGGGTTTCTTATGCTGCCAGTCCCTCAACTCTTGGCAGTGCTTATTTATACCATGAAATTAGCACCATCATTACATTTGTTTGTGTGTACAAAACAATGATCTATTATTTCAGTTTACACTACAGCAGCCTCTGGCCCTGTTGCACTGGGCCCTAGGAAGCTCAGCTGAGAACTAACTGGCCACAGCCAATGACAGGCTCCCACAGCAGCTACCAAGCAGTGACGTGGAATATCTACACGTAGAACCGCTCAAATGAGACTCAGCAGGAAAGGGGCTGGAGGGAGCTCCTTCTCTGCCATGATCTCAAGACAGGTTAGGACATTGGGCTCCTCTAACCTGGCTGACAAACCCCATGAGGATGACATTATCATTTAAAAAGCCTTAGGAGAAAATCCACCTTATAGGGGCTAAGGGTAAAACCTATCCCAGTTTCATGCTGTCCTCATTACTCCCTATGGGGGAAGCTGCCAGGACCAAACTTTCTGCCATTCTGTTCTCACGAGGCAACATTAGAATTATAACCTGGGAGTCCAGCTCCAGTGTGCAGACAGTGTCTAGCCTGGGAAGGGATCAATAGTACGTTTCATGCCCTGACCGTAGTGTGGGGTGAAGGATGTAAAGAATAAAATAACTATTTTCATCAGTGTTAAAGATTTGGTTCAGAAGAGAGTCAACACAGTGATTTAAGTCATCTCAAACTCAGTAACAGGGTAAAGCAGACATTTAAAACTGAGGATGTTTCTGTAGCAATGAGAGCTATTTTGCTATTAGACTGGGTTGGCTCCATTAAGAGAAGCAAATTAGGCTTTGAATGTAAATTTCAACATTTTCCATAATTTTTTTCTGATTTAGCAGGGCTAGGAGATACGTTGGCTTTCTAGCTACCTATAGAGCATTTCAACCTTTGCGTTGTCCCTGGAAAAGCCTTCCTGGGGAGCTGGCCTCCAAGGCAAACTCTCTTGTGATCTCAATTTCCAAGCATAGTCAAATACCATCCTGCATAAGGACCAGAAGTTTTCTAAGATGAAAGATTTCCTTTTCACTCCAATTCACATCCACTTGGAAAAGGGGTCTTATTACAAGCTTGAGGAGATGTCCCACAGGGCTGGCAAGGCCACTCCCTCCCCACCTTCATCCAAGAGTCACATTTCCAACAGTTGTTCTGACTTTTCTTCTAATTGGATAGTGACTGCTTTCATGATTTTAACAATGTAGTATCAGATGCTGCTCTTGGCAGGCCCAGTAACTCAAATTTCTAGTTTCCAGTGGTTTTCTAGTTTCCATTCAATGGCCCTTGAAGGAAGCCCAGGAGTCCATCCTTTCCAATGACGAACTGCTCCCCAAAATGGCTCAGAAGCTGTTTTCCCAGGCAGGTCTGGAATGAAGCCTCCAATGAATGGTGGAGAATGGAAAGAACCAAAACAAAACCACAAAGCAGCCAATCATGGCCCCTTTCCCTTACTCCCTCCTGTCCCGTGAGACATCTAGACTGCTGTCAAGTTGATTACCTACGAAAGCCTACTTTAGAGAAGCTACTTTAGGATCAAACTTCTCCACTGAAAATTTTTACATAGCCTGCCCTCCCCCCACCCCCCTAAATTCACAGTTTATTTCATGAAACAAAGAGCTACGGTAATTTAACACACAACATAGTGAAAGGAGACTCTGACAGTGCAGTGCAGATATCTTTTTCTGATCACAACTACAGATGACTGGAGAGAAAAGGGCACAGGACTGGCACCAAGCAAACCCTACTCATATGACCTAAAAGATTAGGGAAAGGGACCTACTAGCTGCAGTTATATACTTATTATTCTCACACATGATAAATACTTAATATAATGAACTTTAATGTTCTGGGTGAATTTCTTTAAAAATATCTTTTTCATGGTTTAAAATTCTTTTAAAAGAAAATAAGATGCTTTATGTTTTCTCTTCCTTTTGAACAAAGAGCTTTTCCTCTTTGATGATGTGGGAAGAGAGAGAGGATGAAAGGGGAGAACTAGGCAGGTGGAATTCACAGAGGAGATTCCGAGGTCTCAGTGAAATGCAGGGATAGGCCCCTAAATTTGGGACAGCCCTGCCCAGCCTCGTCCCTCTGCCTGAGTTCAAGTGTCTCAACCTTAGAGACAGGCTTTGGGAAATAAAAACAGATTCTATTTTTAGATAAAGCGCAAATGCTTCTATAATAACTATTGTTCCCTCCATGGAAGTGATGGGAGTAACCTCAATAAGAACTTGAGGAAATTGGGACCAAATACAGAATCCTGTTGAGCACGTGAAAAGCCACAAATAAGAGAGAATGGCCAGGAGATGTTAGGACCAGGGGGCTGGCCTGCTGGCTAAGTTGGCAAAGCAGAGAGGTAAACATGTTGGTCTAAGAACAAAGGAGGGGAAGGTAAGTGGGAGGAAACTAGCCAAACAGTACTTCCTGTTGGCAGTCTGTGAGCTGGGTGAATGGTAGGGCAGGGTAGCACCAACAGATTTCCCAGCCCTTGGGCCCCAGCTCAGGGCAGCAGTAACAGATAATCAGCAGTTATTAGGAGTCATCTTAGCCTGGACATTGCTCTAAACACCACCTCTCATCAGTCTTCAGGGAAGAGTTCTGGCTTGCCTTTGAGAGTTCTGGCTAAGTCAGCAGGCAAGCACTCTCAGTACAGAGCACAGCAATTCTCAGGGAGGCAAAGACAACTCCCTCCACTCAGGAGGGAAAAGGACTGGGAAAAAGTGATTTCCCATCAGGATCTGGTACTCTTCCTGAAGCTGGTGTATCTAGCTCAGAGCTTGTCAGAGATTCCCTATGTCCACTGCCCGAGGCTCTGAAATCTGAAAGCACCTGAGTGTTTTAGGGAAACGGGGATGGGGTGGATTCATGTACAAGGAGAAAAATAGGTAGAAACAAAAGTAAAGAAAGAGAAGCTTGCCAAACGCCTTCTTTCACTGCTGGAAAGCTACATTCGCATAGCGCCCAGCTCTCCCTGACCGCCTACTCCTCCAAGGACTGATCTTTAGACTCTGCACAGCCCAGACAGAAGCAACAGCGGCTACCCAAGCCAAAAGCCTCACTTGGCTTCAATGCAGCACCCTTCCATCTATAGAGGAGTCCAATTGTGAGTGTGCGTGCATGCACACGCACCTATGCACACCCCAGCCCAGAGACACTTACTCAACACAACCACTTCTGGTGCCACAAAGGACATTTCAAAATGAGTTTAAAGCCCCAGGGCCCCTCAGAACTTCCTGTTATTTCCTGGTCAAAAGTTCTTGAAAGCCTTGGAATTCAGGCTCACAAGCATGAGGCCTTACTTATCTCTGTATCTACCATCAGTGACTAGCACCCGGTCTAGAACATGTGAATGCTCAGGAAATCGCCACTGATTTGAAAGAACACCAATTTCCTTCCAAGGGTTCCTAGGTGCCCTCAATGGGGCTCTATCTGGTTGGGGAAATCTGGTTTGAGAGCCCCTATACCTTCCAACCTGACCAGCGGAATTGAATTCCATACTTGACTCCAGAGTGGACTTTTTATTTCAGGATGACCATTGGAAAAGTTGAGGGAAAGAGACCCAAGTCTGTCTGTCTCCTTGGTTGGGGCCCACTGGATTTTCATACATGGTTCACACAACCATAAGCCCCCACTGGATAATGTCACAAGAGTTCTGAGTGTTGGGATATAAGGAAAGAATAACAGTGGGAAAGTGTTGGGGGCAGATTTCTTTTTCTTCAAGGGGGAAAGAAAGAAAACATTTCCCCTCCCCAAATGGTACCCTGGGGGCAGCTTGTTTGTTCATGTTAGATTGATTGGTATTACTTCTGTTCCGATTCTGCACACTTGTGACTGGAAGGAGCCTGGTTAAGAGCTGGAAGTGTATTTTGCTCTGGTTTGGGGTCTTGCCCTCTTCCAAGAGACCAGCAAGTCTGTGCCAATGTCTGTGTGCTCCCAGCAGACCAGCAAGACTGTGCCAGTGTCTGTCCAGCCACTAGGGGCCAGAGCCCTGCCCGCGTTGAAGCTTTTCCCAGGGCCCAGGGACTTTGCTCTGTGGTTACCAACTTCTTTTCTTCAGTGGGGAGGGAGGCTGGGGCTTTCCCAAGAGACCTAAAGGATTGCCCACTCTTGGCAGCAAGTGCAGGTAGTTGCTGGCCTCCGACCATCTGCTTCATCTGCTTCATCAGGCCTGGAGCTTGGCTAAGAGGCCCTGGGGTCTGCTCAGTCACTGCAGGAGCTCTTCCTGAGGCCTGAGTTGTTGGCTCATATAAAAAGGCCTTGGCAGGCGGCTGAGAAAGAAGTCTGGCCTGGGTGAGTGATTTAACAGCTTGCCAGGGGTCCTCTGAAGGGGCCGCTGCTTTCCCAGGTGTCTGAAGAAGATTTGACATGCTGCCTTTCTCAACAGCTCTAGGTATATGCCCCAGACCTTTGCTGGCAGGCCATGAACTTGACTCCAACACTGGCATCTTCTCATCAGCCTGTGGTGTGACCTCATGAGGTGAAGCTGCCCGCTCCTTTTGGCGAGGAGTTAGGTCTATGAGATCCATCACCAAAGCAGCTCTATTTTTTGACTGAGTATTCTGGTCCACAGGCCTCAGTGCTTTTTCTTTAGCTACGAGGGTCTGGACCACAGCTGACAGTACTTTCTCAGGAGGCGGAAGTCTCTGGGACAAAGAGGCAGGGGGTTTATCAGGGGGCTTGTCTGAAGTCTGGGGTTTGGGACTGCTGGTAATGAGCAGTCTGTCTGACGGCGGAAGTCTCAGGCCAGTGGGAACTGGGGTTTTCTCCAGTGCCTGGGGCCTTGAGCTGGCAGCACCTATGGATTTATCAAGCCTTGGGTCAGCCTTCCCCAGAGGTCTTTCCAGTGGTTGGGACCTGACTGAGGGTGAGGAGCTTGGGCTGGTCACTGGAGTGAGTTTGTCAGATAGCTGGGGTCTTGGTCCTGCCACTGCTGGTGGCCTGTCCAGTGGCCTCTGGCTGGAAACCAAGGACTGGGATTTGGTCCCTGACCCAGCAAGGTCTCTGACCTTATCTAAAGGCTGGGGCCTGGAGTCAGTTCTCTCAAGAGGTCTTTCAGGTAGCAGTGGCCTCTGACAAGTCCCTGCCAGAGCTTTTTTGGAGAGCGGCAGCGTCTGGTTGGTGTCAGCAGGTTTATCTGACATTTTGGGTGCCTGAGCAGCCATTCCTGATGATTGCTCTGCCAGGTGAGTGCTTGGCCCTGGAGGCAGCGCTACTGGGGGAGGCACATACTCACGGATCTCCCCAGGTTCCAGAGGATTGGGCCCACAGGGATCATGCTCAGTACAAGACAGACGCCCATCCAGTTTGGAAATGAAAAGCATTCCTTCTCGATGCTGCTTGCAAAAGGAGCTTGGGCACATCTCACAGAAGGAGGCTGCTTCCTTCCCACAGATGTCACACTGATGCCATGGACATTCCCATTTCCCTGAAAACACGGAAGCAAAACAAAAGTTTAGGAAAAAGATACATATCACATGGGCCATGACTATGCTACAGTCTGAAGGCATGGATGATGACTCTCCTTCACATTGCTCCTGGTTCAGCTAGTTTATGCCACTCACTAGCCACCTCTTGCCCCAGAATTCCGGCTGCTTCTTCTGCACAGAATACATAAACAGTGAATTATCAAATAGCAACTAGTATCAACTTAATATACAAGCAGAGGAGTAAACCAGTATTTCTATGACTATTTCCAGCAAGGAGGTGGGGGGGAGGTGCGGGACAGCATAAAGCTTCTTTTACATGAAACTTAAGATATTACTTTCAAGGCCGGGCGCGGTGGCTCACGCCTATAATCCCAGCACTTTGGGAGGCCGAGACGGGTGGATCACAAGGTCAAGAGATCGAGACCATCCTGGTCAACATGGTGAAACCCCGTCTCTACTAAAAATACAAAAATTAGCTGGGCATGGTGGCGCACGCCTGTAGTCCCAGCTACTCGGGAGGCTGAGGCAGGAGAATTGCTTGAACCCAGGAGGCGGAGGTTGCGGTGAGCCGAGATCACGCCATTGCACTCCAGCCTGGGTAACAAGAGTGAAACTCCGCCTCAAAAAAAAAAAAAAAAAAAAAAAAAAAAAAAAAAAAAAGATATTACTTTCATATTTTTGCACTTTCCATTTGTACTATACAGCTTTTAAATTAGCAACTCAAAGAGAAATATCTCAGCTATTTAGATTCTTGCTTATTTGCTTATTAGCAGTAATAGAAAAGATATAAAATTATGAAAAATGGAAGATTTACCTTTGTTCAATTTTAAGTCTTGAGACCAGCACAGCACATTTTATGTTGTTCACATGAAGTCAGTAGAAAATACCCAAAGCTGACCTGAGCTTTTATCTACCTTGCCCCATTTCATGAAACCTGAGAGTCTTGACTAGGGACAGTGTTTCCACCTTCACATCGACTACACTAGCTCCCACTCCTGGCAAATAGGCAAGATTGGTTCTATCATAGCCTATGCCAGTGACAGCCCTGAGCAATTGATTATGAAACAATTCTACTTCCTAGTGCTGGCAGGTCAATGTGACAGTCTTGCCCTCATCCTATCTCAGTTTATTTCATGACCTTGGCCAATATACACTGAAGGAAAGCCAATTTCGGGACAAATTCCTTATATTTATATCCCAAAATTCTTCAGCTTCTGCGATTCATGGAAACAGGTCACTAGTAATATATAATCTCCTCACCCTGGAACAGCTCCCTACTGGTTTCTCTTTTTTGTCCTTTAAAATAGATGGCATATCCAAATCCCTAAAATCCTCTAACACCAAATCACTAAGGTTCTCAATTTCTTCAACTACAAATTTAGCGGGCACCACATCCACTTGAGCAGCTTTCTCATGTATTAACTGATACAACCACATCTCCTTTAGAGAAAAAAGTCTACTTTGCATGGGGGGAGACCCCACTAGGGGTAGGGGAGCAAGGGAGGAAGTGCTAAAAAGGTGGCAATTCATTTCTCATGGACTAGAACCATCTAAAGGCTTTACTATCTCAATCTTTCTTTCTCTAGAAAGGCAACATGACTTAATAGTCTTGGAGTAAAAAAACTAGCTCTCCATATATGTGTGCAAGGTCACCTCACCAATCCTAACTCTGTTTCGTCACATGCATGATGGAAGAAAACCAACCTTTATGGGTTGCTAGGGGGATGAAAAACATAAATGTAAGTAAAGGACTTGAAACACAGCAAGTGCATTTCTGTTCCATTCTTCATAAATAAGATTTCTAAGCCTTTGTTTTCATTATTTCCAGATTAAGAAAACAGACTACACCCATCAAAATTATGCATGGGAAGACCAAATGGCACTTACTTCCAGGCTGAAGCAAATGGTATGAGACCCTGAGTATTATTCTGAAAGCAAGTAGCATTATGAATGGATTTTGGCACCAACCTGCTGGCCGCTTGGTCAGATTGAGACAGTCTGCATGGTAAACCTTTGGGCAGCCTGGCTTCTTGCAGGAAACGAGCTGGCCAGCATCCCCGCAACTAAAACACTCATCTTCTCGCTCCTTTGTGATTTCACCCTGGGACCTGCGCTTCCCCTGTTGCTTCTTCTTGAATTTCTTTGACTTTTCTTCTGTGGCAATGGGTTGATTCTATAAGTCAGATATTGAGCATTCTGTCAGCATTCTGTCAACATGTTAGTACCAATCTTAACCAGGTTAACTATCCTTTCTGAGCCTCATTCTCTTCTCTGGGAAAAGAGATTGTCATGAAGATAAAATGCAGGAAAGGTACCTGGTACGTCACAGATACGTAGCAATAATTACCACTTTTATATCAACTACTCTTGCCACCTGAATAAAACAGAAAAGACAAAAATCCTTCTGTTTTTGCTGATACATAGGCTGGTGTTAAATGCCATGCCTTTCATAAGTTATTTATTTATTTATTTAGAGGAAATCTTGCTCTGTTGCCCAGGCTGGAATGCAGTGGTGCAATCTCGGCTCGCTGCAGCCTCCACCTGCTGGGTTCAAGCAATTCTCCTGCCTCAGCCTCTTGAGTATAGCTGGAATTACAGGCACACGCCCGCCATCACATCCGGCTAATTTTTCTATTTTTAGTAAAGACGGGGTTTCATCATGCTAGCCAGACTGGTCTCGAGCTCCTGACCTCATGATCTACCCACTTTGGCCTCCCAAAGTCCTGGCATTACAGGCATGAGCCACTGTGCCCAGCCAAAGTTTTATTTTGTATTTGTCTACTTTCAAAATTAAAGAAGTTTCTGTATGTATACACACGTTTCTCGTTCATTCAACAAAGCATAACTGAACTTACTATGAGCACTGTGTTAGGACACAAAAAAGTTAATGCATGGTCCCTGCGGTGACCATGAATTAACTTCGATTAACTTGACTTGATACATATCAAGTCAAATTAGCTTCATGTCCACCACTCCCAAGGCGGACCCTGGAGCAGCCAGCAGATGTCCTCTCCGTGTTCCCCGCAGCCCATACTTGGGTCACCAAATACTGTGGCTCTTTATCACATTATTCATTTTGACCCAGAAACATCCAGGACCAATCTACAAGGCTTAATGGAGGTCCATCCTATTCTGACAGACCATTGTCTTTACTAAGAGTCCACAGTGATCTCTCATTTCTCAATTTCTGCTATAGCGCCTACCTCTCACTGATTCCTGTAAAATGCTATCCTATGCAGACCTCAACAATGCAGAAACAGACATCTGCAGTACACTTACCACCATTAAATATGGGTTAAACTCAGTTACTATTTTAATTTATAGGAAACAAGTCAACGAACATCTTAAGGAACAACATTAAACCAACAAAAACTAAACAAAAAGCAAAATAAAACCCAATATAGAGGTGATTCTCCTTATTTAACAAGATAAAAAACAATCATTGGATGTTTCTTAATTTTCCCGTTATTGCTCAAAATTATGTACTCTTTTTTGGACAGGCACGATGGCTTGCGCCTGTAATCCCAGCAATTTGGGAAGCCAAGGCAGGTTGATCACCTGAGGTCAGAAGTTCAAGACCAGCCTGGCCAACATGGTGAAACCTTGTCTCTACTAAAAGTACAAAAAATTAGCCAGGTATGGTGGCGGGCACCTATAATCTCAGCTACTTGGAAGGCTGAGACAGGAGAATTGCTTGAACCTGGGAGGCGGAGGTTGCAGTGAGCTGAGATCACACCACTGCACTCCAGCCTGGGCAACAGAGCGAGACTCCATCTCAAAAACAAATTTATTTACCCTTCTTATTGGCTTCTATGTTAATTTACATGTTTTCAGTTCTTAAAGTTGAGTTTCAAAATCAAAAAGGCATACAGAACATACTCCACTGAAGCCACTATTTAGTCTACTTTGCATCAAAATCAAACTTCAATTTTTACTATGCTCTTATTTATGATTAGAGAAATCTTGAAGCATCCAGATGTTCATCTAGTATGTCCATCAATTATATTAAAAAATTAACACAATCAATAAAAATAATCAGCAAGGACTTTAAAAAAAATAAGAAAAGGAGGATACAGACGTGGAAATGATACTTAACAGTTACAGAATTAGAATTCAATTTTTCAGAAAGTGCACACTAAAAAACAGGAAGACACAACAATGCTTATACTTTGTTATAATGGGGAGATTAAGAGTTCTACTTTTATCTATGATGTTATGCTACCTTTAGAAACTTAAACTCCAGATTTTTTGGTATCTTCAGAAAGAGAAACTGTGAGAGAGAGAGAGAGAGAGAGAGAGAGAGAGAGAGAGAGAGAGACAGAAAGGGGCGGGGGGACAGACACAGATATACCAAGAATCCAAGTGGCTTATTAGATGTGAGATCAAGACAAGGGAGGTAACTAGCCTTCTTTATAAGGTCCTATTTCACAGCATTATTATCTAGAAAAGGATCACCATTTAAAGTCAGATGGTACAAAACACTTCAGGAATATTCTTTAAAACCTCTTATGTAATTGAATTGATCAGCCAAATGCTTAGTGAATTGCAAGTGGCCCTATCAACACCTGTTCAATGTCATTAATTTCTCTTTTTTTCTTTGAGACGGAGTCTTGCTCTGTCGTTCAGGCTAGAGTGCAGTGATGTCAACTTGACTCACTGCAATCTCCACCTCCTGGGTTCAAATGATCCTCCTTCCTCAGCCACCTGAGCAGCTGGGACTACAGGCACGTGCCACCACGCCTGGTTAATTTTTATATTTTTAGGAGAGATGGGGTTTCACCATATTGTCCAGGCTGGTCTCGAACTCCTGACCTCTGGTGATCCACCTGCCTCAGTCTCCCAAAATGCTGGGATTACAGGCATAAGCCACCAGGCCTGGCTCAATGTCAATAATTTCAAAGAAATATCTTCTTAAAATGAAGACTGCCCTGACACTGTTAGGGAGGTAGGTCTGCACCACTAATCCCAAAGCAGAAGTCTGGAAAGGTGGTACCTTTGGCCTTACACCCAAGAAGCCACTGCAGTTCGGGGCTCCACATTTGCAAACAGTCTTTCCATTCCCAAGACATTCTAGGTTGTAGTTGAAGGTAAGTTCAGTACCTGCATAAGAGACCATGAAAAATTAATATCTGTGGTTTTAATTACATTATTTCTGTATTAATTACAAAGGATACCAAATCTCGAGAACAAATTAATTTTAAAAAGAATTTTTTAAAAGGATTAACTCTAATCCTATATTTTAATAAATTCTAATCCCATGATATTAATAATTAGCTAATACAATTTAACAGAGAAAACTTAAATGGCTTAACAAGTAATATTTAAGATAACTTTTACTATAGAGGTGTTGATTACCTCAAGTTGTCTTTCATTTGTTTACTAATCATTCAGATTCAAAATATGTAAATTTATTACCAAAACAAACAAAAAACAACTTATCAGTGTATCAGGCCCTGGGAATACAAGTATGAGGAAAACTCTTTTGTCTATTCTCAGGTGAACACGTTACCTGGCAGCACTCTGGAGAGGCATCTCAGTACAGAATAACACTGGAAATATGTAGATTACAGAGTGGTTGTAGGTCCACTTACATCACAGCCTTAGCAGGGTAATGTGAACCCTGAGCAGCCCATTTTAAAATGGAGAAATCTAACAAGCTTACTGAGAGAATATGACAACGCACATAGCAGTAATTTGTAAACTTTAATAAAAGGTACTCAAAAAAACCTGTCCTCTTTCTGTCAAAGGTCCATTTCATCAAAAGTGTGAGAGGAAATAAAAGAAACTTTCAAACTTAAAGCCCATAACTAAAAGCCAGTTATGGAAGGCCTACCAAATATACAAAGAGGTACCTTTGTACAGGGCTAATAGTTTACAGTTACTGTATAAAGTAACCACCATTCCTATTAAAAATTGTCAAGTTTTAGGAAGATTTCCCTTTGCAGTCTGACATGCCTTTTATCAGTGAGACTGATATACACAGTTTTTCATCTAATGTTGAATAAAATCATTAGTATCATTATTTCTTTATTCGAATATATTCAAAATACAAAGCAGCTAACTTAGGGATAATGCTGTAGGAATAGCAGAATTATTCACGGCCTGATAAGAGGCTCATGCCATAAGGAGCTTGCAGGCAGAGTGAGAGTGACCAATTTAACAGGAGGGTCTATTTCCCATCTCATGCCTGAACTTACTGGATTGAATCTTTGGTGGTTGGTTTTATTCACACTGTTTTTTTCCTTTTTCTTTCTTTCTTGTTTTTTTTTTTTTTTTGAGACAGAGTTTTGCTCTGTTGCCCAGGCTGGAGTGCAGTGATGCGATCCTGGCTCACTGCAGCCACTTCTGCCTCCTGGGTTCAAGCTATTCTCCTGCCTTAGTCTTCCGAGTAGCTGGAATTACAGGCGCCTGCCACTATGCCTGGCTAATTTTTGTATATTTAGGAGAGATGGGGCCAGGCTGGTCTCAAACTCCTGACCTCAAGTGAGCTGCCCACCTTGGCCTCCCAAAGTGTTGGGATTATAGGCGTGAGCCACTGTGCCCAGCCCCACGCTGTTTTTTTCTTAATAGAAGATTTATGGATAACTAAATTTTTGGAGACATGATGTGCTTATAATACAGAACTCTACCTTATACATAAATATAAGAAAGCAGGACACTTGCCGTAACTGGCTGCTCACTGAATATACACAGCGTAAGCATAATCACATAGTGGCTAAATTAAATCAGAAATTATCAGTGCTCATAAAGTAAACAATGATACCATTCTAGGAAAGAGTCCAACATGCAATAATCCTTGATAGAACTCCAGTTACTGGACATGGCAAAGGGCATCAGAGAAGAGATAAACAAGGAGTAAAGATGGTACATGTGGGAGACAGTAAGTTGTGGGTATGCGAAGAGCCCAGGAAGTTCAATGAAGGCCTCAGCTCTGACAGGCACTCCACCTGTCACTTAGCACATCCTGTCTCATTTTCCCCATTCTGAACCTATGCAGACTGGAAGCCAAGTGAACAGGAACAAAGTCTGAGAATTTCAATACCAAGCTACCTGAGCTGATGAAAACAGGAAAAAAAGAAGAGAAATTGGCCTCCCAAAGTGTTGGAATTCTCTCCTAGACATGGCAGAGGAGGACATCCCCATGGATATGAACTGAAGATTCTGAGTAGAAGAACGGGATTGTCAGCAGTCAGCAGACACAGAACTAAATCATATGATTGATTTATTACAGAGGAACTATATTTATATTGATTTAATATGGAAGAACCTCTCCATCCCTGGGGTGATCAGAGAGAAAAAGGAAGAAAAGAATGAAGGAAAAAATATATTGAGTGTCCCATAGATTAAATTTAAAAAACAAACACAAAAACAGACTAAGATCTGAACAAACATCATTTTAATTCTTTTATCTTGATCAAAGCTTCCTGTGGACAACAGTGACTGAGCAAAAGAGCACTAAGGTCTTCCAGAACATTCAAATGGGATTTCTGCTTCAACAGTAATTAGACTATACAATTGTATATTAGACTACTGAGGCCAGTTCTATCCCAGTTTGAGTATAGGAGACTGATTTTTACTGTTTTGCTCATATCCTTGGCAAAACTAAATTTGAAAAATAATATACTTTCTTGTACATTTCAAAATGTACAAAGTTGGCTGGGCACGGTGAGCGGATCACGAGATCAGGAGATTGAGACCATCCTGGCCAACATGGTGAAACCCCATTTTGGTCTCTACTAAAAATACTGGAAAAAAAAAAAAAAAAAAAGCTGGGTGTGGTGGCGCATGCCTGTAGTCCCAGCTACTCAGGAGGCTGAAGCAGGAGAATTGCTTGAACCCAGGAGGCAAAGACCACAGTGAACCAAGATCACGCCACTGCACTACAGCCTGGGTGACGGTACGAGACTCCATCTCAAAAAAACAAAACAAAAGTTTACAGAAATTTCAATATTTAAAAAATCATGCAATTTGGAGTGTGTTACATGCATAGGTATACATGTTCAAAGTAAGTGTATCAAAATGCTGAAGGTATAGATTAAGATCTTTTATGGAAAATACCACATCTTTACTGTCAAACCATTCAGCCACATCAGATTTACTTTAAATTCAAATAAACTTATTATTATTTGTCCTGGTTACAACCATCTCCCTACCCCATTAGAGAGACACATACCCAGATGAGCCATGACAGAGCACTAAATTCTCCAAAGGTCCTATTCTTTGGCATCCTAGAGGTTGAGGGGTTTCTGTTGTTTTGTGTATGTATTTTTTTTGTTGTTGAGACAGAGTCTCACTCCGTCATCTAGGCTGGAGTCCGGTGGCATGATCTTGGCTCACTGCAACCTCTGCTGCCCAGGTTCAAGTGATTCTCCTGCCTCAGCCTCCTGAGTAGCTGGGATTACAGGCACCTGCCACAGTGCCCAGGTAATTTTTGTAGTTTTAATAGAGATGGGGTTTCACCATCTTGGCCAGGCTGGTCTTGAACTGCTGACCTTGTGATCCATCCGCCTCAGCCTCCCAAAGTGCTGGGATTACAGGCATGAACTACAGCACCCGGCCTTGTGTGTCTATTTTTAAGAGTCAGAGGTCTCACTATACTACCCAGGCTGCTTCTCAAACTCCTAAACTCAAGCGATTTCTGGACCCAGCCTCCTGAGTAACTAAGACTACAGGCATATACCACCACACCCAGTGGTTTATTTTTAAAATAGCCTTGGGTCCATAACCCATAAGATATGAAAGACCGAGAGACTGACCTTTGGTTTATAAAGTGGAAGAAGGGCAACTGTGAAAGGGAAGGTGAAAAAGGAGACTGAAGAGTTAGTAGTTTCTAAAGCAAACCTATTAGTGGGAAGTTCATATAAATGTGAAAATTTGTTCCGTTAAAACCATCCATGTCCTGAAGACACTGTACTCAAAGAATAAGCCAAGCCAAGCCAAGCAAGGTGGCTCATGCCTGTAATCCCAGCACTTTGGGAGCTGAGGCAGGAGGATCACTTGAGCCCAGGAGTTCCAGACTAGCCTTGGCAACATAGCAAGACCCCGTCGCTAGGCAAAAAAACCAACAACAAAAAAAACAAGCTGGGAATGGGGAAATGTGCCCACAATCCTAGCTACTCAGGAGGCTGAGGCAGCAGGATTGCTTCAGCCCAGCAGTTCGAGGCTGCAGTGAGCTGTGATGGTACCACTGTACTGCAGCTTGGGCAACAGAGTAAGGCTCTATCCCTAGACAATAAAAGTGAATGAATAAATAAAAGAAATGAACCAGTCACAAAAGGACAAATATCATCTATTTATATGAAATATATATAGAAGTCAAATTCAGAAAGAAAAATGGAGGCTTAGTGTTTAGTGGGAATAGAGTATTAGCAGGGAAAGATGAAAAGAGTTCTGGAGATGGATGGTGGTGATGGCTGGACAAAAATGTAACTGAACTTAATTCCAGGGAAGTGTACATAAAAATGTTTAAAATTATAAACTTTATATTTTATGACACCAAAAAACAAAACAAAACAAAACAAAACACACCATGTCCAAGGACCACCTGCAAGGTCTTCATGTGTCTGTGTCTTGGGAGTTTGGAAGTTCATTCTGGATTACAGGACATTGGGATTTTAGATGATAAAACCTGAAATTCATTCAATCTGAGGAAGGTGTTTGTAAAAAACCAAAGCCATAAAATTCGGATGTCAGCTGCAGAATCCTAAAAAGATTCTTACCTGCTTTAATGTCACTTAGCGCAAAAAGGCCTACGCGGGTATCTCCATTCACAGACCACTTCTGTGTTTCACAGTTGGGCTGGCAGCAATGATTCATGAACCGAGCATAGTTTCCTTTGGGACCAGCATCAATGATTCGGTCCTAGAATTCCAAGAGAAGCTACACATCAGACTTCCTGAGACCTCTGCTATGGATTAAAATTTGACTATTCTCTCTAATAAGCTGGAGTTCCTATTTGTAAATATTGAATCTCTCAGAAAAAAAAAAAAAGATCCCAAAGAACTTTGGTTCTCAGAGTGTGATCTCTGGACCAGCACCATCACCATTTGGCAATTTGTTAGACATGCAAATTCTTTTTTTTTTTTTTTTTGAGACGGAGTTTCGCTGTTGTTGCCCAGACTAGAGTGCAATGGCACGATCTCGGCTCACTGCAACCTCCGCCTCCTGGGTTCAAGCAATTCTCCTGCCTCAGCCTCCCAAGTAGCTGGGACTACAGGCACACACTATCATGCCCAGCTAATTTTTGTATTTTTAGTAGAGACGGGGTTTCACCTTGTTGACCAGGATGGTATCGATCTCTTGACCTCATGATCCACCCGCCTCAGCCTCCCAAAGTGCTGGGATTATAGGCGTAAGCCACCGCGCCCAGCCAACATACAAATTCTTGAGTTGTGCTTCAAATGCACTAAAACAGAGACTCTGGGGTGGACCGCAGCATTCTGTCATAACAAGACCGCCAGGGGATTCTGACTACAGTGCAGTTTGAGGACCACTGTCCTACGAACAGCAGCTTGTTCCACTTTCTATTAGGTAGTTTCAACCCAGATGCACCTTAGAAATCACCTAAGAAGATTTAAATACGTACTAATGTAGAGTTCCAATCTCAAAGTAAGATCAGACTATCTGGAGGTGAGGATCTCACAAATCCTAAGTGCACAACTTGAGAAATGCTTACACAGGTAAATATCAAGAAAGGATTTTATTGCAAAAACTAATGCTGGGCGCGGTGGCTCATGCCTCTAATTCCAGCACTTTGGAGGCCAAAGCAGGCGGATCACCTGAAGTCAGGAGATCGAGACCATCCTGGCCAACATGGTGAAACCCCGTCTCTACTATAAATACAAAAATTAGCTGGGCAAGGTGGTGCATGTCTGTGGTCCCGGCTACTCAGGAGGCTGAGGCAGGAGAATCGCTTGAACCTGGGAGGCGGAGGCTGCAGTGAGCTGAGATCAAGCCACTACATGCCAGCCTGGGCATCCAAACAAACAAACAAACAAACAAACAAAAAGATTTTTAAAATTTTACATGAACTTATCAGTACAATAATTAAAGGTTTAACAAATAATTTCTCAATCTGTAAAATAAAAGAATAAAAAAATTATATACTATTAAGTACTTTTCTGACTTCAAACTTGTAATCTTGTAGAAAACATACTCAAAGATAGAATCTCCAATTTTCATTGAATTGTTCAAAAACAAGGCTAAAAGCAGCTGTATTGCCTCTGGCCATGAATACCCAGAAATGAGCATGCTTACCTACTCCAGAACCCCAATCCAGCAATCCCACTGGGTATGGGAAAACACCCTGTCTTGGGAACTGCATTACATGCCTTCAAATACTATGGCTAGAACAACACAAATTTTACAATCTTATAACAGTGAAAACAGCACTTCCCCTTACTTACTTTGTCTAGGGTAAGCATATAGAAATTAGTGATATCGTGTTCCTGAGCATAACGAATTCGAGCTCTGCATTCTTCTTCATCTATAAGCTCACCCACATACTCATTCACAAATTCACCCTAGAACAAGAAATAACTCCTGACTTAATGGGAAAAAACACACCAGTATCCAAATGTATACATTTTTAAAAAAAGTAATGAAAACATCAAATTCTCCAAAGCAGATTACATAAGTATAATTTTATGCACATACAATTACTTTATGATCCCTAACTATTTGATAATGAAAAACACCTTTTTACCCCCACCACTGATACCAGCAGAAAGATTATGATACACTGGATACTAAAGATCTTCCAGAATGGAAGATTTGTAAGTAAACTACAGCTTCCTTATAAAGAGAGATGGATGGCCAATCTCTACTTGCCCCAGAGACTTATTAGATTTTCCTAAATAAACTATGTTCATCGTCCTTGGCACTACACATTCCAAAGTATCATCCTCCCTACTCATGATACAGTCACCCTGGCTTTCACACACATTCACTCCTAACCTGCAAGGCTTTCATGGCCACCTTGCCTGAGTTAACAGCTACTTACATTTCAAGTCTCAATTTAAAATATCCTCAGAAGCCAGGAGTGGTGGCTCATACCTATAATCCCAACACTTTGGGAGGATTGTTTGAGCCCAGGAGTTTGAGACCAGCCTGGGCAACATTGTGAGACCTCACCTCCACAAAAAATACAAAAATTAGCCAGGTGTGGTAATGCAAGCCTGTAGTCCCTCCTACTCAGGAGGCTGAGATGGGAGGATCATTTGACCCTGGAAGGCAGAGGTTGCAGTGAGCAGAGATGGCACCACTGCACTCCATCCGGGGTGAGAGAGTGATAAAAAATAAAATAAAATATAATAAAATATAATATAATAAAATAAAATAATATAATAAAATATAATAAAATAAAAATAAAAAAAAAAAATAAAATATAACCAGAGACAAACTAGTTTCAGTTCCTCTGTCACATATCTCTGAAGCCCTTTATACTTCCACACTGGGAGATGATTGATTCATTATCTCTCTCCCTCCAGAATGTAACCTTTATGAAAGCATGAGCCATATCTCTCCTCTCGTCTTAGTCAGTGCATCCCCAGAACAACACCTGGCACATACAATAGATATAAAAATAAAGACATTACTGCATTTTCATTAAATAAGGCTTAACCTTCTTCTTCATGTTTCATGAAGCCAATCTGTTTTTTCCTTACTTAAAAAAAAAAATTTTTTTTTTTTTTTGTTTTTTTTTTCAGATGGAGTTTCGCTCTTGTTGCCCAGGCTGGGGTGCAATGGCGTAATCTTGGCTCACCACAACCTCTGCCTCCCAGGGTCAAGCGATTCTCCAGTCCCAGCCTCCCAAGTAGTTGGGATTTCGGGCATGTGCCATCACGCCCAGGTAATTTTTGCATTTTTAGTAAAGATGTAAGGCCAGGCTGGTCTTGAACTTCTGAACTCAGGTGATCCGTCCACCTCAGCCTCCCACAGTGCTGAGATCACAGGCTTGGGCCACCACACCCGGCCACTAAAAATATTTTATTAGTATGTGGATCAATGTCTCTGTCTCACGTGCCCAGTGTCCTCTCTCTTAATTACTGGTTCTTGGATAGTCACAAAACAGCAAACAAAGATATAGCATCTCTATGAATGACCCTTCTTTCCATCCTCCTACACAGTGACCATGATCAATACAAAGACCTCTAGAGATCAAAACCATCCATTCTCAAGTGTCTAAACTGCGGGAGGATGTGGCAAGACACAATAATAAGATTAATTATTAACTGTATTTTCCTTGATGATGAATTTTCTAATGTCAAGAATTAACGATATCAAGCAACTGCAAAGAGGAGAAAAAAACAGTAATTTAGCTTTTTCTAACCTTTTTAATATCTGTTTTAGTCCGTAGACCCCAACCCCTCTGTAATGTGCGGAAAATTTCAACCTCTGGATATTGGCGCTTGGAAAAGCACTGGTTTTGACAACGCCCTCCGGCAGGACATACTGTGGGGTGGCACTCATAGAGCAGCATGCGGTTGATGCATTCAGAGTCTATACCACAGGGGTTCTCATCAGTAGCTTTACAATTGCAACGGGGTATTTCAGACAAGTCTGCAGTGAAGATCTGTACCCTGCCAATGGGACGGTTCACCTGGAAAAAGTAGCACACAGTATACTGCATAAAACAAGCCAGCATAAGACAATTCAGGCCCTGAAAAAGGCAAACATTTGTTCCTTGAAGTTGCAGCCACATTTCCCACGATTTTGAACTATCAACATTTAGACAGTTTGATATAAAAACATAGCCTCAGGCCGGGCACGGTGGCTCACGCCTGTAATCCCAGCACTGTGGGAGGCCGAGGTGGGTGGATCACAAGGTCAAGAGACCGAGACCATCCTGGTCAACATGGTGAAACCCCATCTCTACTAAAAATACAAAAATTCAGCTGGGCATGGTGGCGTGTGCCTGTAATCCCAGCTACTCAGGAGGCTGAGGCAGGAGAATTGCCTGAACCCAGGAGGCGGAGGTTGTGGTGAGCCAAGATCGCGCCATTGCACTCCAGCCTGGGTAACAAGAGCGAAACTCCGTCTCAAAAAAATAAATAAATAAAAAATAAAAATAAAAAAATAAAAAAAATTAAAACATAGCCTCACTTGACATATAAAATATGAACTCCACAAGAATTGCTTGAACCCAGGAGGCGGAGGTTGCAATGAGCCAAGATTGTGCCACTTCGCTCCAGCCAGGCTGACAGGGTGAGACGCCATCTCAAAACAATAAAATATAAACTTTACAATTTTTTAAAAATTCATTTAAAAAAACAATTTCAAAGCTGGTAGGCCAAGTGAATTATAAACCAGGTTTCTGCTATTGTCACATGGTGGCGCCACACTCGTTGCTACATAAAAATAGTCATTATTTTTCCTTCCTTTTTTTGTTGCCCAGGTTGCAGTACAGTAGCTGGATCTTGGTTCACTGCAACGTCCGCCACCTGGGTTCAAGTGATTTTCCTGCCCCAGATTCCCAAGTAGCTGGGACTACAGGCACGCACCACCAAAATCGGGTAATTTTTGTATTTTTAGTAGAGACGGGGTTTCACCATGTTGGCCAGGCTGGTCTCGAACTCCTGACCTCAGGTGATCTGCCCTCCTCGGCCTTCCAAAGTGCTGGGATTACAGGCAAGAGCGACCGCATCCGGCAATGCCACTGCACTCAGCCTCTACCTTCCTTTAAAAAATCAGTTAACCCTTGAACAACAAGCACTATTATTTATTCTTTATCATTTTTTAATACATTTGACATAGAAAGCACTATTCTTTTATTTTTATTTTTTAAGACGAAGTCTCATTCTGTTGCCTAAGCTGGAGTGTAGTGGCACGATTTTGGCTCACTGCATCTACCTCCTGGGTTCAAATGATACCCTTGCCTTGGCCTCCCAAGTAGCTGGGACTACAGGGACATGCCACCATGCCTGGCTGATTTTTGTACCTTTAGTAGAGATGGGGTTTCACTATGTTGGGCAGGTCTTGAACTCATGACCTTGTTATCCACCCACCTCAGCCACCCAAAGTGCTCTGATTACAGGCATGAGCCACTGCGCCCAGTGAGAAAGCACTATTCTTAAGTGGGAACTTAATGGCATGAAAACATCTGTGCCTAATTTGGGTTCATCTATGCCTGCTGCATCAGCCTCACAAGTAACTGGGACTACAGGTAGGTATCACCACATCGAGCTTATAATTTGAAATCTCTTAAAAGAACTATAGCAGTGTCACTCATAGATTAATGTAGAAGCAGTGCTAGTGCTAAAAAATATAGTGAAAGTCTGGTGAGGTAAAACATGAAGGTCAAACAGCTATTGTGATACCAAAGCCATCAAGGCAGAGGTTTTAACAAATACTAGCAACATGGAAAGACAACAGATGTTCCAATACAATGATGGATTTGTGCATGAGAATGTGTCTTCCCTCATTTCATATTATTTCTGTGAGAACAGTCAAATTAAGTCTTGTAGGACACAAACCACACATAAAATTTAACTATTAAGGAATTGTGTGATTTTGAACAAATTACTTGCAGGACTATTGTGAGAATGAGAAATATATGTATAGTACAGCACCTAGCTGCCTCTCAAACACGGTAGATATATTAAATTATTTCTTCCTTTCTTATATAACGTCCTTATGATTTTTTCTCATATCAAATTTTCTAGATTACTCATTCTAGTCAACCTAAAATCACTATTACTTAGAAGTTATTTCTATCCTCTAAATTTTCAAATGCTTTCATTTCTTGCATTTTATTATTTGCCTACTCCCCTTTAATATTACAAAATCTACAATCTGGAAATATACTGTCATCAAACCATTTCTCTATCAAAATTTAACAAGAGGAATCCAGGTGCAGTGGCTCACATCTGTAATCCCAGTACTTTGGGAGGCTGAGGTTAGAGGATTGTTTGAGCTCAGAAGTTCAAGACCAGCCTGGCCAACACAATGAAACCCTGTCTCTAAAAAATTTCACAATGTAGTCAGGCATGGTGGCAAGTGCCTGTAGTCCCAACTACTCAGGAAGCTGCAGTGGGAGGATCGTCTAGGCCTGCAAGGCACTCCAGTCTGGGTGACAGAGCAAGATGCTGTTTAAGGAGAAAAAGGATGTTAGGTCTCACTGCCAGATCTGTTCCTAGATTCGTCAAAATACTGGTAAGGTTTGGAAACTTCTTGTTCATGGAGAAATACCCTCAACACATGCAACTGGAAGCCATTAAGGGATAAGCCTTACAGTGTCTAAGGTAAATTCTAAGGGGACAGACAACAACAGGTAATATCAGATACCCAAAACTACAAGTCCTGAATAGGGCATTTGAACATTCACTTCTGATTCAAAGTATTTTTACCTGAACCCTTCCCAAATACACACAAAGGTTCATGCTACTCCTTTTCTCACTACAAATATATGTTTGTGAGACAAAATCTTACTCTGTCCCTTAGGCTGGAGTACAGTAGTGCAATCACAACTCACTGCAGTGTGACCAGGTTCAGGTGATTCTCCCACCTCAACCTCTCAGCTAGCTGGGACAAAAGGCATCCAGATATATATATATATATATAT